AGCAACCCCTCCTTGGGTTTCCGAGGCAATATCACTACGGAAGTAGGATTGCCCAACCTTCCTTCCGAGGAGTGGCTGGTGGGTTTGAACCAACAGCCTTCTGGTTAGTAGTCAAGTGCTTTAGCCACTATGCTACCAGAGCTCCTAGAAGTCTATAAATCCTATTATTAACAGTGATTTCTAGAAGACAAAGTCACAGGGACTTATTTTCTAATATTTGCTCCTCTGTATGTTCTGATTTTCTACAATGAACATAGAGTCATTTGGTGACTGTCAAAAAACAAAGATTCACTCAGTGAAACTGCCCCTCTATTCCAAATCCAGAGCCCCCAACTAACTTGTAAGGACCTATGAACAGCTGAAGACATTGTACCCACCCAACTTTTCAGTCTCTTTCCTAATACCCGACTCATAGCGACCCCTCTTTGGGTTTCAGAGGCAGTATCACTATGGAAGTAGATTGCCCAATCTTCCTTCCAAGGAGTGGCTGATGGGTTTGAACCGCCAGCCTTCTGGTTAGCAGTTAAGTGACTTAGGCACTATGCTACCAGAGCTCCTTAATACCCTATAGTCAGTTCCAAACAAAGCAGTCTGCTTTCTCTTCCAAACATATATATCTCATTCAACAACCCCCCATATCAGGTTTTGGCTTGCCTCAACCTTACAGACCCTGGGGACATTCCCTAGCATGCACCAAGAGAATAGGCTTCTGGGAGAAGAATGTATGGCAAGGAAAGGGGAAAATGGACTCACATCTTCATTGGTTGTCTGGTTGAGAGCCACGAGGAAAGTATGAAATCCAGTCAGTCCCACAACAGACCAGAGTGTGAAGAAGCAAATGAGTACTTCTAGAACAGTAAATTATGTTAAGGAATGTTAAAGGAGCCACACTAGGGGACTTAATACCTCATTCCATATTGATCACACCATTTTTACCTTTTGGAACAAATGTCATAAATGGTGAAGTAGCCACATATAACAACAGATGTATTCAAAACTCACTGGATGTGTCCTTCATGAAAGGTGAAGGATTTCTGTTCTATTCACTGCCATCTCCAGTGTAAAGTGTTCATCTATTTATTCATCATTAGCCCGTTGTGGAGAAGTTTAGGATGGGGCCAAAGCTCAACATCGTTGGTCATTGCTATGAATGGAAAACCCACCAAAAAAGAAACTTTATAAATAAAAATTTGGTGGGGAAAAACAGGATATGACTTATAGAAATCTCATCTGAATCTTCTTTTTGGAAATGCTGCCACTGTACAAAATAAACCTTAGCTGTAACAGAAAAGGTGGAGCTTCCAGAAAGGGACATAAGAAGTGTATCAAGGCAAAATACAGCCCACTAGATGAGGCAGGAGGAGCTCGGGTGGCATACTGTCTGACATTTGACTGCTAACCAGAAGGTTGGAGGTTCAAACACACCAGTCGCTCTGCAGAAGAGGGGGCAATCTACTTCTGTAAAGATTTATCACCTCAGAAACCTA